CGTCGCATTTCACAAAATTCGTTCCAATGAGTGCCTACGGAAGAACAAAAGAATTCTCGAGGTCAAATTGTCAAAGACATCCTGGGGTTTATCGACAAAGATCCTGAGTTGCTTAAAAGAGTGCCAAGTTTTTGGCAAAATTTAATACAAATTCCCTGCTCGACTCGTTCAGTCATTGTAAAATGCGACGCTCGGAGTTTTCGACGCTCACACAATTGCATACCGTTGCCGACTGAACAGCTGTTGGGTCGTGCCGCTTGGTAGGGATACTCCTAAAGGTCCATCCTAAATACTGAATACCTGTTTTCCACAATAGGATGCCCAAGGATAAAGATATATGCAGAGGTCGGATACTTTTGGGACACACCTCGTATGCATTATATATACCTACTTTGCTGACATTATATTTTTTTTACTCCTCCCTCGAATCTTTAATTCTAAAAATTTACTTTAGATCCTACTTAAAAGGACGCACTTTGCTAAGTTGGCAAAAGTAGAAATTCCCGACACTATCAGTTTTAACGTAGGAGTAAATTTTGTACATGCAGTTCGACTTTTTTTTACTGTCTTAGGTCCTACTATATAATAGAATTAAAGGTTCAACATAGGGTCAAAATTTCGACTCGGGTGTTTAATTGATTTATCCGATGGACATTTTTCTCAGCGTAATTTAATCGGGAGACGTAATCGGAAAAATTAACCATCAAAGTAAATTTGAAAAAAAAAATCCTCTTCGTGTCTCCTCTGGTACATACATAGATCGATCGTCGGCCTTACGTGGACCCTCGAAGCGTCCCAGCCGAGTCTAGTTCCGGACGAAGCGATCCCGCAAGACGGATCGCGCGATAAAACGCCACAGATCCAGCAAGTACTTTCGACAAACGGCGAGAGGTGAATTCCCGACTGACGTCCGTTATTCCGGCGAGAGGTGAATTCGCGATGTCCCCGGGCGACGTACATACGTACGTACGTACGTACGGGATGCGAGCTCATCTCCCAACTTGCAGCGAGAGCTTCCAGAACCGCTATTCGTTTTCGCCGCGGCGATTATTCCGCCGCGGAGACCCGGCGCGCGGCCGAGTTCTTCCCTTTCCACTTTCCATTCGCAGCGGCGGCGGCTCCAGCTCGAGTGGCGTGTTGATTCGCTTACGAATAGATGATCCGGCTAGTCTTCCGTGTCTTAAGAGGCGACTAACAGTGCCTTGAAATGAAGCAGCTAGAAAGCAGCATAAGACAAAACCTAGAGAAGATATTTCACGACTATTAACTAGCCCTGGACCACTTGGACTCGACTAGAGAATCAGCGCCATATAACGCAAGAAGAAGATGAAGGCTCCAGCTCGAGTGGCGTGTTGATTCGCTTACAAATAGATGATCCGGCTAGCCTTCCGTGTCCTGAGAGGCGGCTAGTAGCGCCTTGAAATGAAGCAGCGTGAGACAAAACCAAGAGAAGATATTTCACGACTTTTGGCTAGCCCTGGACCACTTGGACTCGACTAGAGAACAAGCGCCATATAACAAGAGGAAGATGAAGGCTCCAGCTCGAAGCAGCCTGGCTTGGTCGTCTCTCCGAAGGACGCGGTACACGCTCTTTCGCAGCTCTCACGCGAACGCCCCGGCGGCCGGCGCGCGGCGCCGACGCCGTTCGGGAATTCGTACCCCGGCACGCAGCGCTCTCGGGCTGAAAAGACATTCGGCTCGCGCGATTCCCTGCCCCGCAGGGAGATCTTTTCCGCTTATCCTCACGGAGCTGCGTGTGCCTCGCGTGCTCGCGCTATTGACATTAAAGAGCCGCTACGCTTATAAAGATGTAAAATGCACGACGACGCGTTCTCACTTGAAACCTCTCACGCCACGTCAATTCCGTGCTCTTTCAAATGCGACGACTCGAACGTAAGAGCCAACTTAACGTTGCTAATTCAACCAAATGCAAAATATTGTTTCCTCCTTATAGAATTAATAGGGGAATATAAAAAAAACGCGGATTAACTGTAAAAAAGATTCTGCGATATCGTAAATGTTTATTTAATATCATTCTCTCGTCTTCCGTGTGAAAGTCGCTAGCGAGGAAATAAATCATTATTCTCAGAAATACGGTACAGCGAAAGCTTGAAAGACCGCGGGTTAGATCATCTACAAGCGTTCTCCGATTACGTTATCCCTCTGTACCTTTTATTTCGAGCGCCGTCAGTCTCGCGGTGATCGTCTGCGAAAGTCTCTCTTCGCCGTCCGTGCGCGTGTGATCGCCCCCCTTTGATCATTTTCGTTCTCGCTTCTCAATCGCGCGCCGAAAAGGCACGGCGGAACCGCGGATCCGGCCGTCCGGGAGAGGCGAGAGAGACAGATGGCGGCCGGCGATCTCGCGATGTCGGTGATAAGGGACCGCGATGATCCGCGGTGCGCAGAGAGAGGCAGAGAGAGAGAGAGAGAGAGAGAGAGAGAGAGAGAGAGAGAGAGAGAGAGAGAGAGAACGCGGGGGCGTGGGCGCCCAAGGCCTTCTGCTCGCCATTTACGGCCCGGCGTAGCCGGGACGCGGAAGATTCGCGGGGTAAGGGAAAGAGGCGACGGGATGCCCGACGAGAACCCCGGAGCCCGATGGAGCGAGGACAACGGGTGGGCGCGGGGGCGAGGAGGGGAGAACGAGAAAGATCAAAGGGGGCAAGAGAGAAATGAATACCCACCGTCGCGGGCCATTTTGGTCGCGCCGCAAACTGGAAAGACCACTCGAAACTCCGTCAACGAAACGCGTCCGCTTATTGGCGAACGATGAGTTCCGATCGTTTTGCTCTCCCGGCTCGTCCGCCGCGTTTTGTTCGCACGGATTCCACCGGCCCTTCCTCCCCGGAGTTCTCTCGCGGTAGACGCGAGAGAGCGATCCTCTCTCGCGTCGATCTCGCGTGCGGCGCGGCCGCGGGAACGCTCCGCTCGTAGAGAGAAATGGACGAAGAAGATATTACCGCGTTCGTAATCCCGACGTTATCGGTGTATTCGAGTTTAATAGTCGACGGAACAGAACGATTAATTGACGCCGCGCGTTTAGAATTGCGCGCATTAATTATAATACACGGAACGCTGCCGCGCCACAATGTAGCAGAGCGAAGCGCTATTTATTCGCGTTAACGGTAGTTAGAATGTTTGTAAGAGCGCGTCCTCCGTGCGCAGCGATTTGCGGAGCGCTTTCACTTCTCAATTTGAAAATCAAAAAACCGTATGCTTTCCTCCGATTTCTAATTTACGACGGAGGATCGACGGGCCGCACCAAGTGCTTTCAATTTACGCGTCTTAATCGGTTCTCGCGGTGAATGCTCAACCAATTATTAATTTTCCGGATATCGTCTTGGAGATAAAGAGTACGTCACTTTTCCTCGAGGTCGGCTAATCTACGTGTCGCATCGCGTAACACGTTAAAACGCGGCGCGATGGTTTTAATACAGTTTAGGCTGCTGGCAAGTATGCGCGGCCAAGATCATAAATTCTGTCCAACGCGCACGCCGCGCGCGGACCGACGTATCATCTAGGATACGCACGATCATCCTTGCATAACGATTATGCGGCGTGACTTGCCCGCGGTCCCTTTAAAAAGGCGCCGGCCGCGAGAGCGAAACGTCGCGACGCGACACGTGGGCGAGGTGTCGAGTAAGAAGCCTGAGCAGAAAGATTGTCGTAAACGTTTACGATTCCGTCGTAAGACGTAAGTCGATGACGGGAGTCAAAGAATTGCCGTAGACGTACTACGTCACCTCGCAATGCGATGGACGGAACATACGTCTACGACAATTCTGCGTGCGTTGACTTCCGACAACGATTTACGTCTTACGACAGTTACGAGGGTATCGTAAACGCTCACGACAGTGTTTCTACTCAGGCCCTCAAGCCGGTGTCAAGGTCGAATCAGACTAGCAACTGCTAACTCTGATTAGATTGGGATCGACGATTGTTCTCTAGCCAATGAGAGTCGATTAAATCGCTGGCTGTTTTGCTCTTATTGGCCAGAAGATAATTGCCAATCCCAATCCAATCCGCGTCGGCAATTGCTAATCCGATTCGGCCTTCACACCACGTATTGCAGATCGCGGATCGCATTTCAGCTAATCAGACGAGACAGCCTCGTATCCGATTGGTTGAAGGACTAGCAATTGTCAACGCGGATTGGATCGGGATTGGCGATTGTCTTCTAGCCAATGAGAGTTGATTAAATCGCTGACTGCTTTGCTCTCATTGGCTAAAGGACACTCGTCAGTCACCAATCCAATCCGAGTCGGAAATTGTTAGTCTGACTCGGCCTTTAAAAGCCCGTATCAGATTATGAATTGCGACTGAGATTAGATTAAAAGTTACTAAACTTGAGATTAGTAAACTTTACTGTGATTGGTCAAATTTCAATCTAATCCCAATCTCAATCCGTAGTCTGATACGGGCTTTAGTAGCACTATTTTTTCTTTCCTTCTCTTCTTCCCGTCGCGATTCATCGCTTTCGAATCCCACGAGAGATCCCGCGAAGCGACTTTCACGATCGCCACCGCGAGCGAGACGCGATCCGCGACACCCGGGACGCGGTGTGTAACACGGCGCGTTTCCCGCGTGCGTTCGTCACGGTGTGCCGGACCGTTCGTCAAGTTTTCCGCGCAGTATTTGCGCACCGCTGCCCTTTCTTTTTCCCCCTGTCGCAGCGTGCCCGATTTACTTTTACCGCATCACTTGCCGCTCTGACGCAAGTTACGTCGCCGCGTCGCTTAAAAACCCGAATCGCGCAATGACCCTTCACTTTCACACACGACGTCCTTGGACCAATTGGGAGAGATTCGAAATTCACTTGACGAAAGGACGAAAAAGGTGTACCGATACCTGGGGAACGCGATTTGTACATTGCGGACAGTTCCTCTTGCTAATAACGATCTCAATTACATTTGACGTAACTGAATCTCGCGGGAGCAAGATCGATCGAAGTAAACTCTCTAAAAGTCAATCAGTGGATTATCACTGAGAGAATAATTTTGTTGAATTATTAGTTTAATATTAGTGATATGTTTTAGTAAAAAAAAATTTTAAATAGAGTAACTTGAAATTCTCTCCAAAACACGCAGAAAAATGTGTTGGAAGTTGCCGGAGCAAGTTTCGAGCTTCGCAAGCGGCGTCGGACGAGGTGTCGTTCAGGTTCTAATTTTCGACGAAAAGTCCGACATTGTGGCCGGACTTATCGGCCTGTTATCGCCCGCGGCTGGCCAGTATTCGCGATGTCCGGGGCGAAGTCTTTGGCAGAGGAGGGCAACGGACCGGTTGGTCCTCTCTCGCCGTCGCATTCCCGAATATGGCAACGCGCATCCCGAAGTGCTGCGGGCACGACGTAACATACAACGCACTCGGCGCGCGCAAACGCGCTCGAATATATTCCGTCGTCGTTCCGAAATCGTTATCCCGCGCGCGCCATATTTTGTACCTGGACGCGGTTACCGTAAGCCTAAACATCAAAACAATCGCGAGTTCGGCAGCTTGCACGAGTGCGCAGTGAGTGCACGTCAAGGCTTGTTCAGAGTCTACTCTTATATCTATGGTCATCTCGAGTACTCTCTAAAAGTCAATCAGTGGATTATCACTGAAACAGTGAATATTCACTGATTCACTGCAGTGCACTGCATAATGCACTGATTGACTTTTAGAGAGTACATGTCTAAAAACTATTTAGTCCAAAAAATCCGTACGAATGCTGTACAAATCATTTTACTGGCTAAGTATTTCAAAAAGAATTTAAAACGATCCTTAAATACTAAGAATTGACTGTAAACAAGTGCAGCTTGCACTAGTGCAAGCTGCTAAATTCGCTATAAAGACCTGCCTCCACGATGCTAGATCTTGGTCCAAGTTCTAGTTTCGTGAAATGTGCAGCCAATTAACTTTTCCATAAAAGCTGCAAGTTGATTGGCTACACATTTCGAGAGTTCGAACCAAGTTCTAGCATCGTGGGCCTTAAGTTTTTCGACGAAACGAAAGTATCCTACCCTCCTCCGAGTTTTCACTTACCTGGAGTAAACTTCCGATCGGGGTAGAAAACACCCGAGAGACGGTTTTAATGAATTTTCTGCTACTAGCATAATGATATTATTCTTATTCGTGCGTAAAGCAAATAAGAAGTTAATTGTTGCCTCGGCAAATCGCGGTCGGAAAATAAATTCCGGGAATATGCATGAAAATATTAAATAACAATGTGTGAATATAAGAAATGACGAAGGTAATTTATTATTACAAATATCTATAGTGTTAATACACATAAAATAATGCGTTTAATCGTAGTCTTTTCTCGTTGTAACGATAAATATTTTAAGCACAATAAAGTGTGATTAACGCTTAATAATGGAGAAAATGCCAAGAGAAGCCTGGAGAAAAATCGCATGAAAGAACATGTCTGAGCATAAGTCGGTAAGCCGGAAGAAAAACTTCGTCTCTTCGCTTTCAGAAGAAATCTTCATTTATTGATTACGTGAGAGTAATTAACGCATTTAAGCTGCTCGTGGATATAATGCACTATTAAAATATTCATCTAGAGTTGTCATCGACAAAAGGGTTTTATAAACTGCAGACGTGAAAAGAAATTAAGTAACATGATAAACTTATAAAAAACGTGACAAGCATTTCGGAATCGTTAATCAATATCACAAAATTAACAACTCTTGAAGTTTCAAGGTAACGTACCTTTATTTTGGACGCTATCTTCATTTAAATAGAACGAAGACAGATACAGCAAAGTCGATCGTACCGATCGGTGGCAGTGTGTCCGTATCAATAGATGAACTCGCGATCGATAGTTACGTAGACGTAGAGTATAATGACTAGACTACACATTACTTTATTGCCCGAGTAGAAGAATCTTTCTTCAAAGGCACAGATCCAAACCTTCCATCAAAAGAGATCGTCGCAACGTTGCCCGAAATATAAGTACGGCTACACAATCCTTAAGCGATTAAATTCCCTCTCTTCGTACCTCCCACATCTGATAGTTACACTTGCGAAACACGGCGCGATCAAATAAAACGGTTCGAAACAATTATACGCAGCCATGTCCACCTGGCATCCCGGACGCTCTCGATAGCCTAGAGCTAAGACCCGAGATGTATCGGCACACGGGATTTACTTTTTTCTTTGGCGCGACAATAAGGGAAAAAACGATAGGACCAGTTGTCATCCAAAGATGTAATTCGTGAAAAGCGCCTGCAATTTTATTTTCCATGAGAAACTCGTTTCTCGAATTCCCAGTTGCTGATGTTGAAGGCATTTTTTAAATGAAAAACATGTTAGGACCAGCTGTCATCTGAGAACGTAATTCATGAGACGCCTATGGTTTTCCACGCAAAAATTAGTTGTTTTTCGATTCTTCAGTGACCGGTCCCAAAGGCAGTCATCAGGACGAATCCAAAGTTAGCTACGCAAAAATAAGATATCCCGTGCGACGATACATTCGATGTCTGGCATTCTTTCGCGATCTTTCTGGTGACGCGGGAGGCAAAATACGAAGGCAACGAGGATCCCTCTGGCCGGCGCGGGCGTCACCCTCGACGATCGGCCGGTGCGATATCCGTTCGATGACCCGCGCCGCCGTTTCCGAAGTGTCTTTTAACGAGTGTCGCTATCTAGGGACGATGCATCTCCTGCAGCAACGCCAGCGATACAGTTTTGGTCCTTTCCATTCGCTTCCATTCCGCGCGCGTCTCTGTCTTTTCGTTTCGCAGGCCACCGCCGCGGCTGAACCCGCCCGACTGCGACCGGGGACTGGAACCGGTATGCACAATAATTTCGGCGAGTTCAGTTCCCCGTGCTGCAAGACGCGGCCGAATGCACCGCCGAAAGGCGATGCGAAAGCATCAGCCGCCGCGCTTACGTCGTCTGGACGTAGGGTGGAAGGTGTGGATACGCGTGAGGCAGGACGGGAACGTACGGGAGAGAGACGGGAGTGATCACGTATAGGGGCTGGTGGATCCTCCCTCTTTTCGGAAAACTACTCGAACGCGTGCACGGTGTACGTCTGTACAGTTTGTGTTCGTACCATGCTGGAATGCGCATAAAAATCTTAAAACATATAACGAATGTAACGCGTAAAGCTAAACGCTTGATTTGACGGAGCCGAAAGCACACGATTCGCATCCCCCTACTGTCCTCTCGCTTGCGTCTGCGGCATCGAGATCGCTGAACTCGCCGAAACTATGTCGGTTTCCGATTGTTGAGGATGACTAGCGAAAGCGCATCTCTCTCTCTCTCTCTCTCTCTCTCTCTCTCTCTCTCTCTCTGTCTGTCTGTCTGTCTGTCTGTTTGTCTGTCTGTCTCTCTCTTTCACCGCAAATTGTTATCTGCGCGGACGCATCTTCTGGCTATCGCTGTCGCATCGCTTCCAGTTCGACGAGCAACAATCGGCGGAAGGGAAAAGCGCGTCTCTTGCCGAGAACGGGCCCGCGGATTCTCGAGGTGAACCCGTCGGTGCGTCTTCTCAGGCTCCGGCTACGATCGCGCGTCTCGCGTCGTCCCCGGGCGCGTCGGCGACCGCGCGACGCGGATGGGCGAGGGCAGGACCGCGGCAGCGGCAACGGCAGCGGCGAATCGAGCGTGCCGACCCTCCGAGGCAACCTGCAACAATAATCGTCCGACTCATGGCGCGCATGAAAGCGATTGCGTAGATCGCATCGGACACGCTCAATTGATCTATGGACATCGCGCCGGGACACGCGTCTCCGGGCTGCTCAGTTATGGCAGGTGAAATCGTAAGCGCGCGCGCGCGCGCCCGACGCGCATCGTTTTCCCGCGAGGCGACCGCCGTAGATCATCCGAGATACTCGCCGCCACGTTGCTAAACAATGCTGATGGCGCGCTTCTTTCAAGGCGAAATCACGTCGGAATGGAAACTCGTGTTTGTTTCATTTCGAAATAGGAGTATCGATATTTGAAAAGAATACACAATTACACGGAGAGAATTTTCTCTATTCTGAAAATTCATGTAATCGTGGAGCAACAGAGCATTTCAAAGAGTTTTACAAGAGTTTTTTGACATTTTACCGTACATTTTACTAGTAATTATACTCGGTATACATTTCACTGGTAGAACATATGGTAAACTTTTAAAAAAACTCGTACAATTCTTCAAACTACCACGTTGTCCCACGATCACACGATTTTCAGGACAAAATTGAAGAGAAAATTCTCTCCGTGCAAGAGCCACGATTTATAATATCGGTGATAGAAAGCAAATCCGCCCAACGCTATCCGTGTACCACGTATATATCACGTAGGCGATCGGCGGATGCGCGCCGACGATCCCTCAAGAATTCAATACGTTTCAGAATGCCAGTGTCATAAAGAGCAAGTTATTCAAGCGGACACCTACGCGAGCGCTGAACGAGAACACGGGGAGACGCTCACCTCGATCAGGCTTCTTGAAGCTCGCTCTTCACTCCCGACGCGCCGTGGTGATGCCTCGAGGCGAGCTTGTTCGCCAACTCGTGCATCACGTCTCTGTATATCACGGTGTCCAAATTCTCGCCCAGCATGTAGAGAAGAAACCAATCGCCGACCTTGCTGCGGCGCACTATGGTCTCCACGGCGTCCCTCCGTACCAAACGAAACCTCATTCGCAACAGGTAGACCCTCGTGCGCGGCGAAAATATTATTAGGATCTGCGGGGCAAGTGGCAGGTGACGTTGCGAGAAAGAAACGGGTTAACTGCGTCGTTACATTAATTATTATGGGTTCCAATTTTGGGGAGATGTAACGAGAAAGCACGAATATTATTTTAGTGTCCTGGAGAGACGTTCGCTGAAAACCTGAGAAGTTTGTGGCACGCTCAACCCTCGACAGGCAACGTGGAATCTGCTAGACTCCAGTTATCGTAATTTCCAAATTTTTTGAACAGGTACACTGAGAAAAATTTCCACCGGGCAAACCAATTAAATAGTGTTTCCGATGGTTAATTTTCCCGATTAAATTATGTGTATACCCGGTGAAATTTATCTGACGAAATTTGATCGAGAAACTGATCATATCTTTCATCGGATATATCCGTTTGTTATTATGCAATCGGATATTTTTCTATAGCTGAAACTGTACTCCCGTGTAGCTGAATTGGACTGTATACTCTTGCGGCTGTTCAGAAACCATTTTGATTGTTTTAATCGATACAAAAGTATAAATAGTTTCACTACGTTTTAATTTTTATATTAGTTTGCAGTTCATTGATCACATATAAATGAATATATTCTGACGATGTTGCTGTAACAAGCTCGATATCCCATGAGGTTCAACAAGTCCCACATTACTCGTCGTGTAATTTTTTTCCACGTTACCTGTCGACGGTTACATAAAAAGTATTGATCGCACTAAGAAAGATTGTATTTTTCGCCGGGATTATTTGTAAAATATGTACAAGAGGATACCTTCTCCGGGATTACTGACCCTATATAAAACCGTAAAGAAACTGAGCACGCCGAGGAGAAGGAACCAGAACCACAGAAAGACGTAGATCTTCTCGTTCACGACGTTCAGAGGCAGTATACAGACGGCGTCGTGTCTCTCGACCTCACCGCTGACGCCGTACTTGTAGAAGGTGCATTTGGTCATTCGTGGAAAGACGTAAATCATTGGGTCCACTCGGTCCTCCTGATCGGATTCGAGGAACCTGAGTACGTCGATGCCGAAGGTCAAGAAGGCGCCGTCGAAGAAGCGGTTCATCAGAAACATCTGACCTGCGACAATGTGCTCGTTGCTTTACAATATTCCGTCATCCGCGACTGACTTTCCCCTCGAAGGAGTTTCGACAGTCGCTTGTAAAAACTATAATGCGTACTAATCAATTAATCTCTTTCTTAAATGAAATTGAGTGAAGCTTATTGTCGCCAGTGGTAATTGAACAAAGGAAAATTTTTTGAAAAAAGTCGACCAAACTGGCAAAAAGGTGATCTTTCTTAAATATTTATTTAATAATTATACGAAATTTTTTAGTAATCCCAGCGAGAAATGACTCGTCGATCGATGTCGAATCGACACTGTCAAATTGACGTCGACTCGACATCGTTTCGACATCGATCGACGAGTCCTTTCTCCATGAGATTATGGCTGTTATATTTCGAGGTCGAGATTTGTACGAATTTTATTTGTCATGTCTATGCATATATAAAACTATAATATAATACTATAACCGTTCACACACGTTATAGAATAAGATGACCAAATTCGGACCAGACACTAAATGCGGATCGACAATTTGATGAGCTAATAAGCGATTTTAAAGTACTTTGCTCTTTCATATATTTACAACTTTATATTGTCGATATCATAAAAGGCATCTACGTATTTTTATGTCGCTTAATTAATTATTAGCGACTCATCGAACTGTTGATCCGCATTTGGTGTCTGATACGAATTTGGTCACCTTACCCTATGAATCGACTACGAAGGCGGTAAAAATATATGTCGATACATTATATGTATAGTTTAATTAAATGCGAAGTTATAATTCAATATTTTAAAGGTACGAAATTGTTCTAAAACGATTATATTCAAGATCAAGATTTATGCGAATTTTATTTGTTAAGATTCAATATACGTTCAACAACGAAAGAAAATAATATAAAATTTTCTTCGATTATTCAACATATACGAAATTTTAATAAATAAAATTCGCACAAATATGGCATATAGTATCCGTAATATAGTTTTGGAACATTTTTGTACTTAAAAATATCGAATCATAAGCTCGCATTTAATCAAATTACATATTTTTACTGGCTTGGTAATTGATTGATTTATGCGTGTGAACGATTATAGACCCGTACATGTTTACGTTAATAATCATATCACGCTGTAATTGGAATGCGATAGACATCGGATAAAATTGACGAGCTATCTCATAGCAAATCGGGTAGTCGAGTTCGCAAGCGGTTGGCCAGCTGTATCGCTGCCAACTTTTACCGTGAATCATTCATTCATTCACCGCTCATTATACGGCCTTCCTTTTTCTTATAATGCGTGTTTGTATAATAAAATTAACGCGGACGAGCTAGCTTAGAGATAGCTTGTTAAATTCCATCGTCCTTTCTGTGAAGACGATTATATTGTTGCACGTTGCTCGATCTCGAACATCTGTAGCGTAGTTAAAATGCTTGGCGTTCACGTAAGTAGCTCAATATCTGTGTTATTCAGATACATATAATTGCTTACAGAAATTTCGAGATTTAAATGCGCGAAAATCAAGATTGACACGAATTCTTGACGCTCTAAACGTTCGTGTAGCGTAGTTTAGATGCTAATTAAGAACGAGTCGGCAGATATTTGTTTAATTTGTTACCGTGGCGCCACGAAACAAGATAAATATGTAAAATAACGCGATATACGAGTATATGTAACCATACATTCGACGTGTGGTAACGTGAAATCACAGCAAGGAGCCTAAAATTCTATTTCTCAATCTCGCGGGCGTATGCATCTTCAACAGCGAAAGCGAAACGCTTTTAAATACCATTCTTAAGCGCATAACTGGTTTATGTTTATCGATCGTAAACGGAAGATAACGCGATGACGTTCGCCGCCTAACGGGTCCGCAAATTCCGGAATTCGCTCGTGTTACATCACGACGGGGACGCGCGTTGCTGATCGAGGATCTCAAACATTGACTTGGGCCGAAAAAAAAACGAAAGAAAGAAAGGAGGGGGAGAGTGCGGGCTACTCACCGATCACATTCACCAGCGCGAGGACCTCGCATAGGTAGTACCTGTAAGCCCACCAATTGTGAAAGCGAAGATTCTCCCAGAGGTAGTCGAGCAGCATCTTCTTCTTTTGCTTCTTCTCCACCTCGGAGCAGAGCCCGATGTCGAGATCCATCATAAGGGCATGAATCTTCCCACCCTCCCAGCCCTTCCATAGATATCGCGGGGTATAAAAGAGGATCGCCTGCGAGCAAAGTGCCGAGTGAATAAATACCGGCGAAACGGCCAATCGCTGATATATTACGCCGGGGAGATTCTGCGGGAGGTGGATCTACTTACGATAGCACGCGAAAGGAGTTATCATTATTGCACCTCGCGCCCGATAGCCGCTGATTAAAACAATGCGGGCGCGTGCGAGGGGGATCCTACTTTATGAATTTTTGGCGTCAAACCTGTCGGCCGCGCCTCCCCCCGAGGGGCGGGGAGTATGTCGCGAGCTTAATTATTTCGTATCGCGGCCGCCTATCGCGATTGCGCATCTGCGTTGTACGAAATTGCGTGCCGGCCATTACTCACGCGTGTAATCGCGCCGTAATGAATTAACGGCGAAATTTTATTTGCCGGTCTTAGTCGCGTTATTTCACTCGACTTTTAAACGGCCCGGCATTACTCTTGTTTTTATAATTCGGTTGTGGAATAAGAATGAAACACTTAACATACATTACGCGTATATGGTGTCGGGGGGGGGCACGAGCCGAGTCCATCGTCAAGCTTCATCTCGCGATCCTTATCGCGGTATTTTATTAACTTCCTGCGATATTTTTATTCGATAATATCTTGGAATACATGGCAGATTAATAGTCATGCTCGCAGGGGTAATCCGAGCTAATTGAATCGAGGCGGCCTTATCTCACATTAGAATTTCCGAGGCGATGTCAATGCACTTATCGAGACCACGATGTGGGAGTAAACCCTTTCTCACGGTATATAAAGCTTTCTGGCTTATCGCCAGGGGCCTCGGGTCGTGCTTGCCGTAGTACGCGATCGAATATAGATACGTACGCTCGTCGCGCGTTACCCCCTTACGACGTGTTGGCGAGTGTTCAGAAAATTCGAGCTAAATTGCAATTTACGGAAAGCTCGGGTGATTGTTAATGAAAGTACGTGCTTAAGACGGTGCGTCGGAACTTTAATGGGTTGCCCAAAACGCTTTGTCCGACGCGCCACATTGTTTCTGAGAAGCACAGAAACAACTTATTATTTTGGCTTGCGGACAAATGTGCAAAGTGACGGTAAAATCTTATTGCGGGGAATGCTGTGTCCCCTATAATAATCTCAGTAATAATAAGCGCAACTTCTACATTCTGTACAAAATCTATTTAAAAAAAAAGATGGGAGTTCAATCGAATCGCCGGGATGAAATTACGTAGAAATAATGTTCTGTTCACGACGATTTTTTTTAACTTTTAAAATATTCCAAATATTAACTTTTGTAAAGTACTTTAATAATGAAGTACCTGTATACCTATTTTTATTAGACGAAAATCTCGCGGCAAATGGCGGTAGGTTAAACCACCCTTTCAATATCTCTTCAAATGTTTGCAAAGAAAAATGATTACGTCAAAATGTAGGATTGTGTCAAAGTGTAGCGAGCGTTATGTAACTCGTTTAATAATTTTAGCGACGTGGTTTATGTGTCGGCGACAGGATTCTTCAGAATGGGTGGTCTGACCTCGCTCTTGACGAGATTACGAAGAAAACGTAAAATAAACGCGCATGTCAGGCCGATTGTACGATTCGCAGCTTTTAGCATTATCGCGGGAGAACGCCTGCGTTGTAAAGAGAAAAGGAAAATGCGTGACCGAAAATAGATCTGTGTCCCCTCTCTTCTTCTCTCGTCCCTTGCCAACCAGGATCGAACCACGTGCGACCACACTTGCTGCCCTGCGAAAGGACATTTATATCTCCCTTTCGGTGTTGAAAATTATGGTTAGATTTGCACAAATCTCTTTAGATATCCAAATAGCCTCGAACGTATTACGTATTCGTTGTTTATTATTTCTACGATAATATAAAATGAATGTGACGTCATGATCGACTCTACTTCGCAGATCCTCGATAAATCATACAATACTCATTTCATTATAGGTAAACCATGAAATTGAATCTGATCTTAAAAGCGCACGCTATAAGATACGTCTTTGTTCTTTAACAAAACTGCTCTTGCAGAGGGGTAAAGAAATTATTATACGGATATCTTACGCTTCGTACAATGGAAGTCTAACATCAGATGTGTAATAAGACAAAATTGAGCAAATTCATAAAACAAGTGTGCGTATATATACACACATAAAATTATATGAATAATATTTGTTTGAAAGGGAAAAATGGTGTATTAGGTACACACTTGGCCGCGATTCCCGGCCGACGCGTAGCATCCATGTGTCACGTTAGCCCCGAATAAATTTAGCTAAAATAAGGCGAAGGAGCTTGAAGCTTTCGAGAAAGGAGAGACGAAGAAGGAAGAAGAGCGGACAAAGAAGTGTACCCCTTGCTACTTTTAACGGGCGTAAAAGTCAGTTTAAACGTAAAATGCGACTATTTTGAAAGTTATTAAATATCCTTGTTTACGTATGCAATTAATAACTTTACCTGAAATGCAAACGTCGAATAAAGTTTCAGGAAAAGTCAGTTTACTAAATTTGATGAAATGTTTGTTAAAATGCGTTGCCACATCTTCGGCTATCAGCAAAGATTTATTTCGATAAAGCTACGGATAACTTTGTGTTTACGCATTTATTTTGCAGCCCGTTGTAAATACGAATTTTTCAAAGTGTCGTCAGTTCTCGGGGATATAAAATCTTTGTGATACTGAAAGAGATAGTTTCTCGAAAGAATGGATCCTCGTCACGTGTTCAATTTGATTAGACGGTAACCATATCATCGACGCGTTTTGTCAATTTATTAGCGATACGCGACCTTACGGATGTTTTGCGTCAAACATTGTCTAGAAGACGCATTCAGATACGCAGCAATCAATTGCGAAATAAAAGGCGGATACGCGATTAATCAAGGAGCGAGAGAGTTGTAGGAACATTGGACGTATAAATAGAGGATGGTGGACTCGGGAAAAAGAACGATATTGTACGTGCGCGAAGACGAGTAATGCTTGAGGTATGGGAGGCGGAGGTACGATCAAAGATAGCATCGAAGGTACATATGCATTTTAAAGGCAGAAACTATCTGTAACCTGTATTTATGTATTGACGTTATGAACAAGGATTATCAATCACGGATAAACGAATACACGCACTTGCCGATCGTATACAGCTCATCGATACTGATTCGTTGCCGCATTTTCTGAACTATCTTAATTTAGATATGAACATTCGATCGCCCTCGCGTGTTTCGTTATTTAAACAACCTTCCGCTTCTCCACGTGGAATTAAAGGCGCTCGAAGAGAGACGGAACGTTAACGAAACATAATATCTATTATAAAAATCTCCACTATTCCTAATCCAATCGTTGACTGTTTAGCATTTACCACGGGGAAGAGTATCATTACAAAATATATAACATAAATATATAACAAAATATATAACAAAAATATATAACAAAGGATAAGTAGAGAGATAAAAAACTGAAGACTAGGGTGCAACGGTGGGTCGACGCGAAAGACGACAAGAGAGACCATCGCTTCTTACTTGCAGTAGCAAGAGGAAGATAACCCACTGATAGTATTTGTGCTGCTTGACCAGCGGGTGAGGTGCATGGCCGTGCCCCCCTTCGCCCATGGTGTTTGACACCCCGGGGTAAGGCACGGCCTGGCCGATGCTCACGTTGAACGCGCGTACCACGCTGTACGTGGTGTGAAGCCAGCAGAAGTTCTCCAGCACGGCCTTGTCCACGGCCGCAGTGGCTTCGCAGTGTATCGGCGAGCCGGAGATACTTTTGCAGGCGAGGGTGATGCAACCGGACAGCAGCACCGCCACCGTGGCGCGATAATGCAACCGAAATATCATCGTGTCCTCGGCGAACCTGTGCACCTTGAAGAGCGATCGAATCGAGCCGAACAAATCGATCATTTTGAGCATCAGCGGCATGGTAAACAGATGGAGATCGGGGAGTGACTTTGCTCAAGTCGCCCGGCGAGTCCCTCTCGCGACGCCTCGACGTGCTTTGTCCTCCTCGTCGTTTCCTCCCGCCAGCGAGCTGGGCTCTATTTTTGCACAGAGTGGTGTCCCGATCCTACTGGAAGTCCTTTGAAGCGACGAGCACGACGGGCACGATGTTGAGTCGCCTCTGGTATTTCAGTGCTTTCTCGAATGTTTCGTGGGTAGCGATATTGGATAAAAGTATGTTTCACATGGGTTCACACCTGCCTATCGTTGCTATGAGAATTTCAATTTTATTCGTAGAAGTTGATTTCTCAGCGTCTCTTCTGTTTTACCATTAAAGAAACGGGATTATTGCTTCAATTAAAACGAAAATAGATAACGGATGAATCGTCGTGAGAGCACAATTATAATCGTGAAAGACCACCCGCGTGGTTTTCCTGTACACCGTATGCATTTTGTGGGCAACCGTCGTAAAAATCACATGGCGCTGTTTACTTTCCTGGCTTCCCTTCGATTTGCTTTACTCCCTTCGTTTATTCTTCTCACTTCTGTCCTCTCTCACTTTTTGTCTTTCATATCTGGATATAATGTCTCTCTTCGAGCTCTAATGCTGACTCTCCCTTCTACCGACTGATCTCTTTCGCAAGATCGTATCTCGATTTTACGTAATTTTCGTTGTTGGTTTCTTTTTTTTTGCTTAAACGCTTATTCTGGGATGAGCGTTTGAGCACAAAAAACCGAAAACTGCGTAAAATCGAGATACGACCTTGCGAAAGGGATCAGTCGATATGTGGAACATGTCGAGGTCCTCTCTTCTTTGCAGTTCAATGAAATGAATTGATACAGTTCGCCATATGCTTTTTCTTACAGTTTTTATCCTGAAAAATTCCTTAACGAATCACAAGACTGGTTGCTGCATAAACGCAAGATCACGAAAACTACGCACACACGAACGTTACTTGTTCATTGCTTTGTTTAACAATCTTTAACAGAAAACCATTGTTTACGTTTCTCGCACATCCGACCGTACACTTTCCGTATACTTTCTTTTTCATTTTCGTTTTTCATCACTGTCACAGTTAATGCATAATCCCATCCACTTTGTTTTGCGGCGCAATTTAATTTAACCCGACGTTTCGACGAGACAGGCTGCGAAGAAGAAATTAAAGACGATAAATGAAGTTGGAAAAGAAACACGCGCGTGAGTCTCGGATACAAGCTGTCGGAAGACTGGCCGGACTTGAGAGGCATCCCTTGACCTCGCTACTAAACACATAACTGATATTATCTTGCAAGTGTCTGGGTCAGCATGATCAGCCAAAGGCTGATCGACGAGGCATCAAAGCGTATTATCCGCGGTCTGACATAGTGTCACGCTGTCTGATGCGGTGAATAAATACAGGCTATAGGCAGCCCTCGATTTTGTCATTTTCTCGCGAAAGTTCGGGACGAGCCAGTGGGGGTCTAATATTATAACAAGATTCCGCGTATATCCGAAATCATCTGTGACAGGAGCGCGAATATTAATGGAGCTCGGTAACGTCATCGCGCGCGGTATATGCTGCACCGATGACGATTGCCGAAGGTCGAAATTAAGACCGATGGAAATCTTGATGCATGGGTACGTTGACTGACGTTACGTCGACGCGCAGACATTATTAACGCGTGAACTGACAAAAACTTTTTTTAAACTAAGTAAATAGATTTACTTAAAGTTATTTTTTACTGAAGTGAATATTTTTTCTATTTAAATAACAATATCGAATTTCAAGTAAATCCATGTATTATATTAAGTAAATTAATTTATTAAATAACAATCGCTCGTATGATGAAATCAAGTAATAAAAAGGGGCTCAGAGCCCGAGCAAGGTTGTAGTGTCAAATAAAATAATTTTAATTATAAAAGCATATATACGTTTCGGTTCTTATTAGACCACCCTCAGTATAAAGAAGAGATAAATTCGATTTAGTACATGGATGGATTCGCAAGTTAAATATCTACATAGAATCACGCGGTCATTAGTATAAAATTAAAGAATATATAAATTATCATCAATTTTAACGCATAGATGGATTTACAAATTGAATATTTGCAGCGAATTACGCAGTCACTAGTGTAAAATTAAAGGACATAAAAATTAATTTAAATCATTACATTGTCTACATTCAAATAAAGATTTCATGAGATATAGAATACGATTTATTAAATAAAATAATTGTTTCTGTTAAATAAAAAATTCAATTTTCTTCGCTGTAAAAACTACATCTTAGAAAACATTTTATAGAATCCCTTTCTAAAAAAGAGATATTACCAGTGTCGTTAATATCGAACAGTTGAGGGCTCTTTTCCGCGATGTCGATTGGTTTTCTCGAAGCGCGGTGTGCTTTACTTCTCTTTTAGATTCATAGTGAATGAAGATTTGCAATTTAGAAATATACATTTGTATGCATCAACTATTGAAGTAAAATCTCTAATCTTATTAATTAGAATTTAAGTAACAACGATTTTCGTTTCGAAACATTTTCTCGATTGAACAGAATTGATCGTTAATTTAATCAATACCAATAAGTCCGCAGAATGATACGCAAAACGTAGTAACAGTCACTGAACAAAGTAATTAGAAATATTAGGTATAGCATTTTCAATTTCGTAGGCGGGACAACGAATTCTCAACGTTTTTTTGTTGTTGTTATTCACTCGGCGCGGTATCGTACGACGTTACGCGGGCCAATGTTTACTGAAGGTCGCCGCGGTATCACTCGCTCGCCGAACGTCGAGCCGGCAAGCAGTGGCGAGAGTCGCTCCGTGCGTGGTATTACTTTTGCGTTATTGGTTTCCAAGACTCGATCGCGATGAATGCAGGGATAAAACACTATTGATTTGCACACCTTTATCAGTAACAAGTAACGTTCCTTGATTAATCATTAAGTTTTTACAACTTGCAGAGAGAAACGAATTGTATATTGAGGCGACGGTTCTTTATCAACGTGTACCTAGATATTTCACGAGATTAACTCATCTAAAATATGAAACCGTGGTACCTTGTCGCGGTTACATCTCGTTTACGCACCGCGCTTTTAATTATCTGTCGATTTCGTGTAATCTGTTCCATTTTCGGGAAAAAAGAGAAATTTGTACGACTTCGCTCTGTCGTTCTT